ATTTCAATGTATGACAAAAACCACTGCAATGTTGTAAAGTAATTAGCCTCCAACTAATAAAAATAAATGGAGAAAAAAAAAGTACGTTGGAAAACTGGACAGCCATATACAAAAGAATTAAAAACTGGACCACTACCTTATACCATACACAAAAAACTAACTCAAAATGGATTAAAAACCTTAATACAAGACCAGAAACCATATAACTCCTAGAAGAAAACATAGGCAGTAAGATCCTTGACATCAGTCTTGGCAATGACTTTTTGGATTTGACACCAAAACCAAAGGCACCAAAAGCAAAAATAAACAAGTAGGACTACACCAAGGTACAAAGTTCTACACAGCAAAAGAAACCATCAACAAAATGCAAAGGCAACCCACTGAATGGGAGAAAATATTTGCAAATCATATACCTGATAAGGCATTGGTATCCAACATATATATTTTTTAAAATGCATTTAACAACCAAAAAAAAAAAAATCAAAAACGGGGCAGAAGAGCTGAACAGCCATTATATAGATGGACACCAGGTGCAGGAAAGGATACTCAATACCACAAATCATCAGAGAAATCCAAAACCACAATGAGATGTTACCCCACACCTGTTAGAATGGTTATTATCAAAAAGAGAGGAGATAAGAAGTGTTGGAGAGGATGAAGAGAAAAGGAAATCCTTGTGCACAGTTGGTGGGAATGTAAACTGATGCAGTCACTGTGGAAAACAGTATGGAGTTTACTCAAAAACGTAAAAACAGAACCACCATATAATCCAGCAATTCCACTTCTGGGTATTTATCTGAAAATAATGAAAACAGTAACTTGTCATTTTCAAGAACACAGATGGATCTAGAGAGCATTATGCTAAGAGAAATAAGAGAAAACAAATAAATATATGATCTCACTTAAATGGGGATTCAAAAAACCAAAGAAAATGACAAAAATGAGCTCACAGATACAGAAAACAGACAGTGGTTGGTAGAGTGGGAGGGGGTTTCATGAAACAGGTGAAGGGTACAATTAAGTATAAACTAAATAAGCCCTGAGTATGTAATGTACAGCATGGTGACTACAGTTAATAATCCTGCACAGTATATTTGAAAGTTGCTAAAAGAAAAAATCGCAGAAGTTCTCATCACCAAGGGAAAAAAATTATAACTACAGTGATGGACGTTAATGAGACTTATTGTAGTGATCATTTTGCTACATGTACAAATATGGCTACATCTAAAACTAATTCTACATGTCAGTTATACCTCAATTTTCTAAGTTTATAAAAGACTAAATCTTAAAAAAAAGAATAGACAAATACATAAGAGTATGATAAATTTAGAGTATGGGATTAATAAACTACCATGCATAAAACAGATCAGCAACAAGGATTGACTGCGTAACACAGAAAATTATGTCAAATATCTTACAATAGCCTATAATAGAAAATAATCTGAAAAGATATATATATGTAAAAGTGAATCATCTTCTTATACACCTGAAATTAACACAATATTGTAAATCAACTATACTTCAAGGTAAAAAAATATTTGCTTAGCAGTATGAACTAGTTACCCTTGAAAATATTTTTTTGAAGTTACTGACCAACAGCTGGAGAAGAAACAAGAAAAACAAAAATTAAGCCATTAATAAATTGGCTTAAAACATACATACCGCAGAAGTGTGACTGAAAGGGAGGCTGTGGGGGTGCTTTATCTAATGCAAAGCTGTGATGGACCAACGCTGACACAGCAATAATCTACAGAGAAGAAAATTACTTATCAGACACCTACTATGTCATCTGCATTCTCACCAAAATCACCAAGAACATAAAAAGATATAGATTTTAGTTCAAAAGAATATTTTAACTTTTATTATGAAATTATTTAAATAAAAAATTAAATAATAAGATCAACTCTCATATAGTAATCATCCAGCTTAAATTATCAACTCATAAACAGCCCTACCCCACATTATTTTGAAGCAAAATCCATACCTATCACTTTATCCAGAAATAATTCAGCAGGTTATATGTTTCTCATATATGAATAATGTTTCTCAACCTCAGCACTGTGGACATTTTAGGCCAAATAATTCTTTGTTGCTGGGGCCGCTCTGTGCATTGTGGGAAATTTAGCTCCCATGGCTGCCAAAAGCATCACTCCCCACTCCCCAGTCTCCATGTTGTGACAATCAAAACTGTCTGCAGACATGGCCAAAAGTCCCCTGGAGGGTTAAAATCACACCCAGTTGACAGCCATTTTCTCATATGCAATACAATCATGCCAGCTAAGTCAATGAACAGTGATTCCTTGAAAGTGAAAATGAAGTTGCTCAGTCACATCCAACCTGTTGCGACCCGTTGGGACTGTAGTTCACAGAATTCTCCAGGCAAGAATACTGGAGTGGGTAGCCTTTCCCTTCTCCAGGGTATCTTCCCAACCCAGGGATCGAACCCAGGTCTCCTGCATTGCAGGTGGATTCTTTACCAGCTGAGCCACCAGGGAAGCCCTGATTAAATACCCTGGCAGAATTCAAATTCTTGTGTCTTCCCAACTTTCTCAACTGTATTTATCAACATACTTTGCAACTGGCTGACATGTAATAAAACTGTCTCAGCACAACTCCTCCCCATCTATTACTTCTCTGCAATTTATTTGTTGAAGAAACTGGGTTGCATTATCCTATAGTGTCCCCCTATAAATTCTGCTGCTTGTATCCCAAGAATGTCATTTAACATGTTCCTGTTTCTGTACTGCCTGTATATTCATATTTATATTTGAAGGTTTAATCAAAATCTGATTCAATTTTTGGCAAGAATTCTTTGGAGTTGCTACTGATCACCACAGACTAAACCACCATTACCACCACTAGTTATCACATCATGTCTGGTTACCTCTATTCCAGTGATATTAATAGCCTCTGGAAATCAAACCTAGATCATTTATCTCATTATGGATTGCAAAGTAGCTAGATCCAATTCTTCCTTCATCATTTACTAACTGGAAAGCTACAAAGGTAAACCTACCTCCACTGATCATTTGGTTACCTGAGGTGCAAGGTATGTTCAAAAAAGTCAAGATAAATGTTTGATTCAATTCATTTACCAATTTTCAAAATAATGAGTTGGTTCCCTAGCGTACTTTGCAGTGAACAGTGTAGTCCTGTGTTTACAGTATCATTATGAAGTCATGTGTTTCAATCTGTTGCAATTATACATGCTCAAATTGCTCCATCTTTGACATAGGGTACTATTCAAGTTGTTTCCTGAGTCCTTCTGACATACCTTCAGTAGATTTTAATAATGTCCATGCCTCCTGGTATAACAAGACGTTCCAGGCTTACCTTGGACAATTACTGCCCTGAATCAGCTACTTCTTCACAAAACCCCATTTCCTTTCTTGGGAAACGGTATTTAGAAACCTCACTCTGGACGAAGGATCTTTTTAAACTAATTAAACTTTCCCCTAACACTTTAACTATTAACTATCTACTATATCAACTATTACTAAAACATCAAATCACATACAAAAGGAAAACACACTGCCAAGATGCTGCTGTTAAAAAAGATCCCTGGGAGGAGGGATCGGGATGGGGAATGCATGTAAATCCATGGCTGATTCATGTCAATGTATGGCAAAAACCACTATAATATTGTAAAGTAATTAGCCTCCAACTAATAAAAATAAATGGAAAAAAAAAAGATCCCTATCTATGCCAAAAGGATTTACAAGCAAACATAAAGAAGTTCCCACTGACCAGAGAGACAATTTAAGCAGCAAATTAAAAAAAATTAATGATCACAACAGATTGAAATAAGTATATATAAAGTCCATGAGTTTATAATGATACTTCATAAAAGAAGAAGCAAAAATAAGTAACAAAAAGTTTACAAAAATAAGTAACTTAAAAAGCAGAGACGCCACTTTGCTGACACAGGTTCACATAGTCAAAGCTATGGTTTTTCCAGTAGTCACGTACAGATGTGAGAGCTGGACAATAAAGAAGGCTGAGGGCCAAAGAAATGATGCCTTTGAATTATGGTGTTGGAGAAGACTCTTGAGAGTCCCTTGGACTACAAGGGGATCAAACCAGTCAATTCTAAAGGAAATCAACCCTGAATGTTCATGGAAGGACTGATGCTGAAGCTGAAGCTCCAATACTTTGGCCACCTGATGTGAAGAGCCCACTCACTGGAAAAGACCCTGATGTTGGGAAAGATTAAGAGCAGGAGGAGAAGGGGACGACAGGGGATGAGATGGCTGGATGGCATCACTGACTCAATGGACATGAGTTTGTGTAAACTCCAAAAGATAGTCGAGGACAGAGGAGCCTGGAATGCTGCAGTCCATGGGGTTGCAAAGAGTCAGACACGACTTAGTGACTGAACAACAACAACAAATGGTATTCTATAAGAAAGTGTGCATGTTCTGAGGGATGCATACCAAAGTATACAAGGGTAAAATGACACATGTCTGAAATTAGCTTTAAAATACTTCAGGAGGAAATAAAAGAAGGGGGGTGATAAACAAGTGTGACAAAATCTTGATAACTGGTGAATATGAGTGATGGGTACAGAGGAGTTCATTATATTATTTTATGTCCATGTGGAGTTCTCTAAAATAAAAAATGGGGAAAAAAGCTCCAACATCAGATAAATTCAATTCATTCTTCAAAATGGAGTTTGGCAGTAAATTAGTATTCTTTCCTTTCCACAAAAAACAACCTTCCCTTACAGAGGAGCTGTACAATTTCAAGAAGCATCATACCCCAAGCCTAGGTACAAAATCTGCCCTATTTCTTTACCTCATTTTCATGTGTCTTTGCATTCTGCATTGTCTTCATGCTCAAAGACATGACCACAACTGGAGGAGGACCGACATCCTTAATTACGTCCACCAGGTCCGGTTTCAAGACCATTGCCTCAACTTTACACCAACTGATTGGCTGATTCAAGAGCTCTGAAAGAGAATAGATACAACAAATCAATAGCTATTTGCTGAAAAAGAAAAGCCACTATAATTAAGACATCTGTAATTAACTGAAATGGTCTTCAATCCTACCTTCTACTAAGAAGGTCTTATAATAACATCTAACTAAAAATAAACCACATTATTGGATTGTATACAAATCTTCATGTGTGTATGTACACATATGTTCATTTTCCTGGGAAAAAAGTCCACAGCTTTTATCTGACTTTTCAAAAACATCCAAGACTCCAAAAGAGGTTTATAAGAACAAAAACACTGCTTAGAGGAATCCCAAAAAAAAGTTTTAAGAAACTTATGAAGACAAAACAGAGTATCATAAATGCAAATACTGAAAACCACCAGGTAAGAGACCATACACACACTATCCACACTGGGCAGTGAGATTTCACTCCTTCAGAAGTAAGCAGTTCATCATGTTGAACAGCTGGGCCATGTCAGCCAGGTTGGAAGGCCACAATGATAGCAACACAATGAAGGACATGCCCAAATGTCTGTCTAGGTTAACTAAGCCCTCCCTCCCATTAAAATGTGAACCATCAAAACAAAAGAGTGATTTCAAATATACTTCAAGGAACTTACTTAAAGAAACAAACATAAAAAAGGAAGTGGTCACACTGAAATTAAGAGCCAAGTCTTTAACTTCTAAAAACCACATCTATCAGCAATTTACTGAGTGTTCTGAAAGTAAATGTCTCCTTACGTGGATTTTTCACTTCAAGCCAACAAGGTCCTTTGATCTTTCTATTCATTAAGAACAGTTCCAGGCTGGATGTGTTGGTCCCAAATACATGAGAAAAAGTTTCTCCTTTCAAATCCTGAGGAAGCTGTGTCATTTCAGCCTGAAAAAGGCAAAAAAAAAAAATCCTTTTTTTGTTTTTTTTTTGCTTAAAACTATTACTTCACATTTTCCAAACTCTGTATTTGAAATAGACAAAAGCCTCTCTATGAACCACCAGAAGAAACCTCTTTGATATATATGAAATGTAATTTGCCACATATGAAATCCAAAACAATTCACAGCATGAAACAAAAACAAATCACAATGACAAAATAATGCATCTTGATGACACCCATTAGAAGAAAAATGGGCCAAGAAGCTCCCTCAAAAGAGGATTTCTGTCCAAAGCTGTACATGCCTTCCTGATGAATAGCCAAATAAGTACAACTCCATTAGAAGAATGAAAGCAAGGGAGTGAGAATCATTCAAAATGCTTCCATGGTGCTTTACAACACCACTGTCAGACATTTCTTAAGTTTCCCTTTTCCAACATCATGAGATCAAAACACTAGAACGGAAGTAAAGAGAGGTTAAGGTCCAGTTAATTAACATCCTGCAGCAGTGACCTTGTCTGTCACGGGAGCAAGAGCAGCACTACGGCAACACTACTGATGCTCTCCTCTCACCTCTTCACTGCTCAGATGGACACTTCAACAGACTAATGACGTTCAACTCCATCTTGTGCATTTGTTCCACTTGACAAACAGTTGTGTCATTTCAACTTATGTTTTTACAGATGCATACTTGAAAGCAGAGAAAGGCAGTATAACCTATAGTCTACATATTTAAATTCATTTTATTCATTTTAATTATTCATGACTATAAGTTCACTTCAGTGAACTGTGAGTTTGAAGAGCCCTGCCAGTACTCCTAATTAAAAGCCAGCTGAAAACTCAAAAATAGGAAAATGCCATTTTCAACCCAAATCCATTCATTTTCTTTATTTGACTTACCGAGTATCTAACTTCCAAGTACTCAGATTTCTCCGGAACATCAGGTATCTCAAAAGCATAGTTCTTTTCTACTACCTGGGTAAGTTGATATTTAAAAATCATTAAGACAAAGAAACTTCAAAAATTAAATTGACAAGCATTAAATACACCAAAAAAGCATCTTTCCCCCGCTTTCATCTGGGATGAAAAATACCTAGTGACAAAATGTTTAAGACTTCTTTGGGACACTAGAGAATTTAGAAATATATGCATTCAAGAGAGGCAATGAAACACTAAAAATGTTTACATTGTCGATGTACTAAATCATTTGCTACTCTTTGATACTAAGCAACTCCATCTTGCTAGAAAAATTAGTAATAAACATTATAATTACAGCATACATGTACTGAGTGCTTGCTATACACCAAGGACTGATCCAATCACTAATATCAATTAACTTACTTAACTCTTCCAACAGCTCTTGATACAGGGCCCCATTTCCCAGGTGAAGAAAGAGGCCCAGAGAAGTCCAAGATAACAGACCAGGATGTGGTAGAGCTAGGACTTAAAGCACCAGTCCCTACACTCTTCACCATTACATCACATTGCTTCTAGAACTTCAGAGAGACTTGATCCATCAGCCACAAGTCAAAGCTCAAATAGTTCAGTTAGCCTCATCTTCAGCAACTCAATCCTCCCTTTATTACCAGCACTGTTAATGGCCAGTGTCCTGAGGGAGTTACAGCCCTACAACTATGGCCAAGGGCATCAATATTTCACTACAATCAAGACAACTAACTAATCAATATGCATCACACGAATAGAAGAACTTTATTCTATCAGAAATAGCATCACAGTTCCTGATTTTTAAAGATTTAACCTTGTGACCAAGACAAGTTAGCAATAAACCAATATAAACAAGATCAGAACAGTTTCTCCTCCATTTCAGAATAAGAAGACAAGATATGCTTCAAGTACTGGAAGCCATTACTTTATACATATTACCTTTTTATTCAAACCAATGAACATTATTTTCTACAGTTTAAAGAGAAAGACAAAACTGTTTTTATGCATCTAACATATTGGTTTTATATTGATATCTATGAAATTTCCATAAATCAGAAAACTAACAAACAACTAATACACAGAACCAAAAAAATTATCACCAAATACAAACCTTGGACTTGAATTTCATAATCTTGTATTTTGCTGCTATTTTCTCATCAAATTCATCATAAACATCCTTCATGGTAACTGGAGTTCCACTTTCTTTCCCCGTGTTTAGATCAACTTTCTGCTTTCCCATGGAGAGGGCAGGCAAGGGGAGGGGGAAAAGGTATCTGTAAATAAGATCTTCTCGACCACCAGAAACCCAGTCTAAATCAATTTTCACCTTTACCCACTCAAACATCTAATAGAACGAGGTGAATTCAAAAATACAAATGGACCCAAAAATATACTAAATCCAGTGCCCAATTCCTCCCAATGACATCATAAAAGCAAACCAGAGATAAAGATGACCAATCCTACAAAATGGGAGAATAATGTTGTAAATCTTGACCAAAATGCTTCACAGTTCAACTGAGATAGGGAGGGGCTGGGGCTGAGAGGGGAGAATGGATGTTAAGGCCAAATACAAAGGAGGAGTAAATGGAACTGACCCTGTTAAATGGCTGTGGAGGAAATAGCAAAAGCATGAAAACTGGGCCAAATGTCATGTCCTATTTCAGAGCCATATATTCTCAACCCCAATAATCATGGAAACAGAGAGTTGGGGGATAGACAGCCTTATATATTGAAACTCAGGCACTTTGATGCTCTAACAAGTTGAAAAACAGCGTTTTACTCCATTTTTCCACTTTTCCAAATGTCTAATAGACCTGCTAACAATCAGGGGGTCATAAAGCAGGCAATAAGAAAGGACCATAAAGGGACTTCCCTGGTGGTCCAGTGGCTAAGACTCCACCTCCCAATGCAGGGGGCCCGGGATTCGATCCCTGGTCAAGGAACTAGATCCCATATGCCACAACTAAGAACCAGGAGTATTTTTTTAAAAAAGAAAGGACCATCTAGGTTGTAGATAAGTCACAGCCCTATCAAAGGACCAGGTTGGTGGCAGAAGAGAGAATGCACTTGGAATAAAAGCTGTGTACTAAGGGTTACCATTTCACGGGGAAGGAAACAGAGCGTTCGCTCGATGTTCTTCACCATGACACAGCAGCTCACGTGGGTGTCAGCAGATTCGATCCAGACTTTGCCAAACAGAAATACCACACCTGAAAGAATAAGTAAAAATCATGAAACAGTACACATTTCAATTATATCACATTAAAGGGATGACATAAAAGCTCACTGAATGTGCCCACACATGTATGCTTTCATGTTAAGTCATTTTCTACAGCAAATTTGTATCCGCTACCCAATCTCGAAGACCAGGTCCTTTACCTATGCTGTATGGCAATATCACACCAGTAACTTGGTGGAAACATTCGCCCTAGAAGTAGGGAAACATCCCAGATAAATGCAGACAAGCCTCAGCTATTAGGGTGACATCCCAGGTCTGAGTAGATACCCTGCGTCAGTGCAGAAACTCCTGGGGAATTAGAAAGACATGCCACCTCAATGAAGACACACCTCAAACTAGGGAGACATCCTAGATCAATGTAGGGGGAAAATCATTTTTCCTAGAACCAGGATTACCCAGATTAAGAGAAATCAAAAAAGCAAACTATTCTCCAACAAATCTATTTAAATCTCTTGTGAGAACTCTGAGAACTCTAAATTCCTTTTCAGCATTTGTACTTACCAACAAAAACTAACATTTCTATGTAAGGATAACTATGTATGGTACATCAGTAGTCTTCTGTACATAAAACTGTTTTGGAAAAACAAAATTCATCTCATATCTTATTCCATATAATAGTAAATACCTCAGAGCTCAACTATTATCTCCTAATTCACCCTTTCTACTTCACAGACTACCAAAGACATCCGGCTGGAAAGCGTTTGTGTTGTTCCTCTCTCTCCTATGTCAGTTTAACAAATGGTCTAGTAACCAAATCAGGAGACAAGCTCCTTTTGAGATCCCTAAGTGATGTACACCACAAAGTAGACCAAGCCTTTCTGGACATCAAGTCATTGTTCATGAAAATTAGTCATCAAAAAATGACTCTGCACTGCTATATTTAAAATGGATAACCAACAAGGACCTGCAGTACAGCACAGGGAACTCTGCTCAATGTTATGTGGCAGCTTGGATGGGAGTAGTGTTTGGGGGAGAATGGACACATGTACATATATGGCTGAGTCCCTTCACTGTTCATCCGAAACTGTCACAACATCGTTTGTTAATCAGCTATACCTCAATACAAAATAAAAGGTTGGAAAAAGAGAAAAGACTCCAGAGATTTGACAGTCAACCTAAGAGATGGCCACTATGCAAAATCCTGGGCTCTGTGAATAATTAGACAGCAGTCATCAACACAGCTATTCAACAGGGCCACTTGCCAGAGACACTAAGAAAATTCTGGCACAAGTAAAGGCTACTGTTCACAAGGCCAATTACTCCAGTGTCACAAGATAGCTCATCAGTGCTTCCTTTTGTCACACGTTCTAGTAGAAATAAGACCATCTAAGAATTCTCATTTCTGCAGATGATTAAAATTCTTACAAGAGTTGTCTAATTTTCAGCTGGGGTAAAAGAGGCGGGGGTGGGGGGAAGATAGGGGAGAGGGAAGGGAGGACTGTGGGGATGATTAAAAAAGAAAAAAAGTCACAGTAGCTCAGAAAATTAAAAGTCATCCTCACAACAGTTAGAGACGAAAAAACAAAATTCTATGCAAAGAAAAATAAAGCCCCTAATATTGGATTCAAAGATTCAAATAGCTCATTTTACAGGCAAACTAATATCACACTTCATGCAACACATTTGACACTGTTTATGCCTCATTTGCCACAAAAAGATCATGGTAAACAAAGATTACATTCCCCTTAAAGTTACTAGTTGAAGCCAGGTGCAGTCAGGATTATTCAACCTTGAAAAAGTCATAATGAAGACAGGATATCTTCCCATATGCAAAGAGTAAGATTCTTTTCATAATTATGGAGCATTCAGCAACAACTGACTTACTTAGAATCTGTAAGAAAGTGAGAAACAATAACAGGGTCTTTGGGAGTACTTCGTTTTTATTAGCAGCATTGATTTCAGCAAGGCTCAGTGATCATTACCTGCTATCAAGATGAAACTGTTCAACCCTCTGAGATTACAGGACTTTTTTTTTTTAAGCCATCTTATTTAACCCGTTGGCATCAATCACAGAGTACAAAACTTCAGAAGCACCATGGAAATGCAGAGTGGACTGCGGGTGAGAAGCCGAGCCCTCTGCAACTGAAGAGCTGACCACTTTATCTTTTGGAGCCTCAGCTTCCTCCGCTTTAAGTGTATAACTAGAGATGATGATCTCTGACACCTGTGGCAGCACTAGCTGTCCTCTCCTTTTAACCTAGCAATAAGAAGACAGGCCAATAACAGACTGATACCTCTTTCAACTGCAAAGTATTTCCCAATAGTGGTTGAAAAGGCCCATCCATGACTAGGGTTAGGGTATGATGGGGTCACAGAAGGGGCTCTTAGGCCAGTCTGGAGGACTAGAAAAATTCCAAGACACAATATTGGGGGTGGGGGGTGGGGGGAGTCAGGTGAGGGAGGAAAGCGATATGGTATAAAGAGCAGCAGGTACAGACTATTCTAGGACACAAAGTCCCACACAGCAGACAAAAGAAGCCTTGTTAAGGAATTTGGACTGTAAGTTGCAGGCAGCAGCCACTGTGGATTTTCTGTAATGAAGAACTGATATCAGAAGCCATCATTCAGGCCGCCATGTGAGGGATGACAGCTGAGGAGTCAATGAAGAGGTTGGTGTTGGGAGCAGGAAGGGCTCAAGGGTGGGAGTTGTGAGAAGAGAAGACAGCTTGTCCAGTTTAGGAGGAGAAAACGAGTAAGTCTTGGTGAGGAAAGTGAGGAAGGTAGGGGACTCAAGGCGGGCTCTCAGATTTCTGGTTTTGATGGGACCATGAATCAAGTCAGGGAATAAAATTCTGCAAGGAACGGATACAGTAAGGCACAGGCAGATGGCTCTGGGATGGGCAGGCCCACCATTCACCCAATTCCAGAGCACTGGCTATGAGGCTGTGCGTCAGGAAGGTCCCTTGAAACTGTACAATAGAGCCATCCTGGGTTTAATTTCCAAAGCCTTGTGAAATCACACTTGCCAGCCCACCGGCCACCAGCAAGTTACAAAACAGTCAAAGAGGTGAGAGCATCTAACCAGATGGTCTTACCCTAGAGTTTATACCATTTCTAAGACTGCTGGCATCTTCACCTGAGCAACAAACACATGGCAGTTTGCTACTCCAGCAGCTGTGCAAGTTTCAACACTTTGATAAGCGGAGCATATTAATACTGCCGCCTCCCAAGAGACCTGTACCATTTTCCCAGTGCAAGCCAATCCGAGTATCTTGGTGGTAAATCTGGCTCCAAGTCTGATGGTTTAATACTTAGTCCTCAGGAAATCATTTGGAAAAATTCAGTTTGTACCTGCCCTTCAATTCAGATACAGATCTGAATACAGGCAGCTGTTTAAGGTTGTATACTGTCTTTTTCCTGAATCTGACACGCCTTGTGCTGCCTGGCCCCGCAGTGAAGGACACAAATAGCACAGCAGAAACGGGAGCCCTCCTGGCTGTCTTTGAGTCAGGATTCATAGTAAAAGTTCATTTGGAGGAGGACCTGCGACTTAGCCTTGATTCCTCCTTTCTCTCAAACGCCACATCCATCCATCCTCGGAGTTCATGTCAAAGTCCAAGTAAAAGTAACTGACTTCTCTCCTCCTCCACACCTGCCCTGGACAGACGGATCTTCAGGTCTTCTACACTCCCTACTCTGGCCCGGCTACACCCACACACGTGCAGGCTTTTGTCCACATAAACTACATGGTTCCTGCTCAGATGTAAACCCAACCATGGCCCCACTCTACCCCTCACCCCTGCACCCCACACTGAAAATCCTCCCCTGCCTCGCCGCTGTTCTTAGAGTAAGGGCTCAACTCCTCAACGCAGCTTTCGAGGTCCCTCATTGTCCGGCCTTTGCCTTTTCTCCAACTTGATTTCCAACCAATCTTGTTATCTGACTACTCTGCTACAACCACTCAGGTCTCCTCCTTTCTCTCCCCGGGCCTCTGCATTTCTGGGTTCCTCAGGCTGAAATACTCTCTCCTCAGCTCTGAACATACTGCAAAACCCAGCCCAATGGTCATTTCCTCAGATAGGCCTTCCCTGGTCACCCCCCAAATAACTGCCTTTACCCCACTAGAATGAAAGCTCCACTAGGACAGGGAATTTGCCCAGATGGTTCACCCCATCTCAGGGCCTGGCATGTGGCAGGTGTTCACACTGCTGAAGGCACCAATTAGTGATTGATTCCACTTTAAGTGCATTCCAATACGTTCAGATACATCAATGGTGAATTCTAAGCACACACTGCGAAACCACATATAACCAGTTTTCAGAATAAGAGTGAAAAGATTATTCACACCACAGACTCTCTCCATCCAGGTGACTCATGAACTTTACAGTAAACAAGTGTTGCTCTCTTACTATGAACATGGGGGCAGAGCCTGTGCCAATTACAGTCACTAAAGCACTTCAGGAAAAGGTGTCATTCTGTGTTCAAGACATTCAGTTACCGTATGTAACTATATGATTACCTGGTTGGCTGTATGGATCTTCATAAGCATCCAGCCAATAAAACTGAAATACTTGTTCCTCATCAGCTCCTTTTACCAGTGGGAGGTGACTGGAATCCACTTGAACTTCTGGGGCTGAGAAACTGCTGTCATCTTCCTGATCCATGTCCCAACAAGAGATATCTGGGAGAAAACTTGCTCTGCAAAAATCACATTTTCAAAAACCTTTCAAAATCCAACAGAGTAAGTGTAGCACTACTTGGCAGAGAAGTCATAAAATGCTCTTACGAGGAGGATGTGGTCCCTTTCCCAGAATCAGCCTCATGTTTCGCCTCCTCTGCTGGCTCCCTCTCTTGGCACAAAGTCTTGGCAGCTACGGGCTCCATATCCACCTCCTCAGCTTCCATGGGCTCATCAAAGTCACCATCTTCAAATTCCATTGCCCCCGACTCCTCCTTGTCATCTGAACACAGTGGCATCCTGGGCTCTCCTGAGGGCAGCGTCACACATTCCCATCACGTGTTGCTGCCACCCAGCACAAAAGCTTCCCCGACGGTGCAATAGCAGACTACCCCTGGCCCACGTGCTATTTGCCTTGCTCTTCAATTCCCAAATTGGATGTTTTTAACTTTTCCTGCTATGAATTCAAACCTTTCTCAGGGAAACTGCCTACTCAAGCCCTTCAAATTTTCTCCACTTCCTCCTTCACGGGGCCTCCATCTTTTGACAGCACTCTGCAACTGCTTAACATCCTTGCAATTCTGCTTGACAGGAGACTTACCAGCAAATTCAACACATGTAAGAGGAACAGGAGTTAATGAAGGCTCCTTCGTTGAGGCCGGGGGAGCGGTTTTTCCTGAAGGAGCTGCCTGTCAATGTTTTTAAATGTTTAGTCAGTTAGACCTGCATACTAAAAATATGCAACTGTCCTACCCTGACCAGAGATAATGACAGTTCCCATTTATAAAACAATTTTATGTATTATTAATGTAACAGCTTCAATTATTTTACTGTCACCTAGGTTTACAGAAAAAAAAAAAAAAAAAAAACTTGTTTCCAGGAAGAAAATGATTGCACTCAGCACAGCTGTAATACCTATAATAAACATATACCAGTTACTACAAAATTTACTATGAAAAAAGCAGGCACATGCTATTTTTGAAATATATGAAACTATATAATGAAACAGGAGTCCTAATTTAAAACAAAAACAAGAACAAATTCAAAGGCATTTCACTCATATAGAAAAGCAACAAAGTAAGTTTTAAGCAGTAATGTAAATCAAGACTGAAGGTATTTCCATACACTATACCTTGGGGGTGTGCACAGAGAAAGGATTCAGTGAAGCTCCACTGGATCTTTTCTTTTTTGGTATTATTACAGGTGGTGGAGTTATTTGTGGTGTCTAGGAGGGGGTAGACAGACATTCATTGCCATGCTTGGTTTACCACAAGACACAAAAAGTACATTTCTTCCCCCCAATGAAGCCCAATGAGCAAAGCACTTTTTCCCCCTCCCTGCTCCCCCCACAGATCTATGTTCATACAGTGAGGTTACTATAGCAACAATACCACAGACTCACTAGAAAACCAGAATAGATACTGTCTTCACCCCTCATCAATTTTTTTTCTTTTTAAAACTTAACATACTTCTCCCTTACCCTTCCAGAATATTACATTTTAAAACTGTCAAACCCGAACTACACAGTGTTGGTGTTAGTCATTTTAATTGAAGATCACTTAGAAAGAAGCACATCTCTAACTGAGAGTTCAGTCTTGCTGTGAAACAGCCCAATTGCAAATGCCACTACAGCCGAACCTGCCTGAGTCGTACGAGGGACAGCTCACCGACTCTTCCCTCAGCCCCACTTGGAATTCAGGACGAGGATCTCACACCTGACTGTGAAAACTGACAGGCTTCAATCTATTTCGGGCACATACACGGCAGCAACTGAGCACAAGCAGCGTGCCTTCCCAGCAATGGCTCGTGTGTACTCTGACTACCTCAAACACAGCCCCACACAGGCAACAGAGCCTAGAGTGGCTAGAAACTATTCACCTAAAATGGGGAGAAGAAACCAATTTGAAGGGCTTGGTTTTGGTTTGGAGGTTTGTTTTGGTTGGGGTTTTGGTGGTGGGGTTGTCATTGGAGTTTGCTGTGTATTCTAACAATAAGTCTGTTTCATATTAATTACTGAATTGTTTCTTCAGCCCATGTTCACTTGAATATTTGACAACTCCTGGAGATTCACTTACCTCAGTGTTCAGGTCCTGTAGAATGTCACCTAACAGATCATCCTTGGACAAGTCAACAGCTTTCTGAAAATTAAAAAGGCAGAGAGAATGAGAAAGTCCTGCACTTCACATTTTCAGAGTAAGGATCAGGAGATGCCTCAATCTACCTAGAAATCTACATTGAACTTAGTGACTGAGACTGGGAAAGTAACACTCAAATATTTGAGTTCAAACATATTGGGACCTCCCTGGCAGTCCAGTGGTTAGGACGTGGCACTTTAACTGCAAGGGCCTGGGTTTGATCCCTGTTCAGGGAACTAAGACCCCACAAGCCATGCAGTGTGACCAAAAAATAATAAAAAATAAAAAACAAAACAAAAACATACTGGGCATCTATTATCTATATAATCAAAAGTTAAATATAATCAAAGATTAAGTTCATCTGGAACCAGGGGACTAGCCTGGCAGCCTTCAGGAGATCATCTGTTTAGAGCTACGGAGAATCTGACAAAAAAGGTGAACTATGAACAAACAGGAATCATTGCTTCACAAAGGAAGAGGCAAATAGAAGAAAACATGAGACTCACATCTACAGTTTTCCTCCCAGCACTGGCAATGAACATTGATTTGATGTTGTTCGGTTTTGTCACAGCAGCCCTCTTGATAGTCCTCTTATCTTTGTTGCATGCTTTATCATCTTTTCCTGTTGGAAGAGAATTTATTTAGAAACAAGCAAAAGCAAAAAGCAAAATGGAAAACCAAAAGCATGGTTACCTGCCCTCTGTATATGAGACTCTGACAAGCAAAATGTTAAAAATTCAAAACACAAAACTGAAATTTTATGCAAGGTACATAGGAAATAATCTTTTAAATGGGCTTAATTCAGGGAAATTTGGACTGAATGTTACTATAAAAATGGAAGAAAGGCCAGCAAAATGTCAAGATGAGTTATTGAAACTGTTTGATCATTACTGTTAATGTGAATAGAAAGCTTTTTAAAAGGTGGGGTTTAGTTTCCCATAGAAATAAAAAGATCAAGCTCATCTGAAGCCAGGGGATTAGCTTTGCAGCCTTCATGAGATCATCATTTTAGTGTGATACTGACTCTGACAAGAAAACTGAACTAGGAAGAAAGAAGACTACTGGTTGTGATACTGTAGCATCCCAGTTTCCATTTTATGAGGAACAATAACTAGACATGGAACAACAGGTCCTAGCAACACTAAACAACATGCAGACATTTGCTCCATAAAGAAAAACTTGTGCCATATGTTTTCTCTTCTGAGCATGTAGAAACTACCTGCAAACTCCTCTAGTACTGTGAATTTTACTCTCACTTTCTGACTCATCCCAGAACCCAAAGGGAATGTGGGCAATAAACATGAACATATGGTTCATGTTAAAAAATATATAACTATGAAGTTTTATGAAAGATGCCAAACTTCATGTGTAAAAGAAATGCAAATGTCATTTCTCACATATTAGAGGGTCAAAAATTAAAAAGCTTGACAATACATTCTATTGGCGAGGCCATGGTGTCTAAATGGACACTCAAATGTTGTTCACAGGAGTGTAAAATGGGACAATTCCTATGGAGAGGAATTTGGCAATATCTCATGAAACTTTATGTCCATGTACTCTCTAAGCCAGCAATCCCACCTCTACAAATTTTCCCTGAGGAAAATACCGTATGCAGTTATTCAATGTGGTATCATCAGCAAGAGCTAATTACTGAAAATCTAAATGTCCACTCAAGAAAACCATCTGATCAAACCATGGTACATCCACCGATGGAATACTATGCAGCCATACAGAAATAAGCAAACAAGAACGCGCTCTAAGTGCTGATATGAAGTGATTTTCAAGATATCTTCTTAAGTGAAAAAACGCCAAGTACAAAAGTATCTATAGAAAATATCTTTTGTGTAAGAAAGAAAAGGAAATTAAAATACGTATACAGAATTCCATTTCTGGGCATACACCCAAAAGAATTAAAAACAAGTGTTCAAACAAAAACTGCTACACAAAACTTCAAATCAGCACTGTTCACAGTAACTGAAAGAAGGAAACAACCCAAGTGGCCTATAACTAATAAATGAATAAATGAAATGTGGTCTATCCTCGCAATCTAATAGTACTCAGCCCTGAAAAGGAATGAAATACTGATTCACACTGTAACACGAATGAACCTTGAAAACACTATGCTAAATGAAATAGGCCAGAAACAGTCACATATTGCATGATTCCAACTCTATGAAATACTCAAAACAGGCAAATCCAGAGACAGAAAGCATATCAGTAGTTGCCAGAGCTGAAGGAAGGAAGACTGAGGAATGACTGCTTAATGAGTATGGATTTCCATCTGGGATGAGAAAATGTTCTGGTCATGAGTACAAACACTGTTGATGCACTAAATGTCACAGATGATAGATTTTGTTTTTTTTTTAATGTGCCTAAGAATACAAAGATATAGCACATTTGTGAAAAACATAAGACAGCGGAATTTAATTTTGTCAAGAGATCATTTGGAGCAGTTTGAAGAGAGAATATAGGCAATGGTCAAAATGTTTAGTAAACAAAATTCAGGTCCTAATAAAGAGCCTCAAAAGAGAAGGTCAGTACTGGTTTGACTAGCAAGGAAGGCTTCACTAAGGGGCTTTAATATCATCAGTCTACATTAGCAGGTATAAGACAGAAAGACAACAGGAAACAAAGAAAGAACAGGAGTCAACATTTGAGATGAAATTTTTCCACAATTTTAGAGCTCCTGTTCTGATTTATGTGGGGTTTTTTTGTTTTTGTTTTTGTTTTCGGCCAAACACTTGTGGCATGCGGGATCTTATTCCCCCCATCAGGGATGAAACCCATGCCCCTGGCAGTGAAAGTGTGGAATCCTAGCCACTGGACAGCCAGGGAATTCCCTTGTCCCTTTAAAAATGTCAGTGTCATGAAAGACCAGATGGGGAAGAGGAGGGATGGTGCTGCTCTATGCTAAATAAGACTGGAGAGACATGAAAATCCAAGTGGAGACTGCACTTCTAAAAACAGCTATGAAAGGTATTATTGGATGAACTGGGGGATCTTAAGCAGGATAAAATCTTAGATAATATCATGGAAATGGTACTGCAGCTAAGGAGACAAGCCCTTGTTCTTATGATCACCACTGAAGCATGGAGAGCTAAGTGTCGTGCTGTCTACAACTTAGTTTCAATAAATTCACCAAAAACAAAGTCTGTGTGTGTATGTCTGGGAAGGTAGAAGAGGGACACAGTAAACAAATGTAACAAAATGTCAACAATCTACAAATTAAGGTCCAGACTTTCTGAAAAGGGTGAGAGAGCACAGATTTCAGGCTTTGCGGCCACACAAAGCTGTTGCATATTCTTCTTTCCATTTTTCTTCTTTTTTTAAACACTCGTTAAAAAGGTAAAAGCCATTCTTAGCTTGAGCTATATAGTACAGGTATGATTTCCTTCTGAGGTAAGGAAAGTCATCATGGTGATGGCTGTACTACTGTGACTATACTAAAAGCCACTAAAATGCTCAATTTAGGGGAATTGTACGGTATGTTAATTATATCTCAGTAAAGCTATTCTAAAATAAACCAGCTCTAAGTGGGCCACAGAATGTTGGCCAGTGATCTACCACTTGGTGGTAATAATGAACTAAATAAAAAAAAAAACAAATATGAAGCAAATTTCCTCCTCTCATTTTACAGGAACAAAATCGGGCTTGTTGACAAGCAAATTTCTTTTGCCAATGATTGTGATAGCTATGCGAATATAACACATTCATTCATATTGTTTTAAATTTCAATTAAACAAAGAAAGTTGACAGAAGCTCAAAGACTTGTTATTGTACTGTGCTTCTATCAAAGAGCTAAAATCCTAAGTAACTTCAGCAGGAATGAAAAGACATCACTTACGCTTGTAGCCCTCAAAATCAGCAAATCTAAAATGACCACAGCACTGAAAATTCCAAAATAAGTAAGACTAAACTCTTTGGATAACAGAGATGTGAAACTTCATTTCCTGATTGTTTTTGCTTTCCATGTTTAATTTTCTACATAACTACACTTCTTTCAATATTAGAACATTTTCTATACTCAAACACAATTGTGGTAGGTCCGTTTCCCCTGAGGAGGAAACTGTGTCAAAGTACCAAGTCATCTGAAATTTTAGACAATTCCCTAAATCTCAAAATGGCCCTCTTTCTTTTTCTTTTTTTTTTCTTTTTTTTTCCATTTATTTTTATTAGTTGGAGGCTAATTACTTTACATCATTACAGTAGTTTTTGTCATACATTGAAATGAATTAGNGTCATACATTGACATGAATTAGTCATGGATTTACATGTATTCCCCATCCCGGTCCCCCCTCCCACCTCCCTCTCCACCCGATCCCTCTGGGTCTTCCCAGTGCACCAGGAAAATGGCCCTCTTTAAAAACAAAATGCAGGTACCTTTCTCATGGGAATCAAGAGCATCATCTTCAAGGTCATCATCAAAAATTTCCCGGCCATCCTCCACATAGCCAATACCATCTGCAGGAACAAAATTTCATATTAGGATCAAATTTCTAAACATAGCCAATATTTACCCATGACAAAAAAATAAAAATCCCCAATCAGATGTTCTCCTGGTTCACGTCATTTTAAAATGCAGCAGAATCCTGTTCAACCAAAAGTCAGATGAAACACAGCCCTCACACAGGTTTTCTGAGTCAAAACCAAAGGATATACAGCTGACCCTCACACAACTTGGGAGTTAACCCACGCATAACTTACAGTCAGCCATCAGTATCTACAGCTCCTCTACAACTGTGAATTCAAACAACCACAGATGGTGTAGTACTATGGTATTTATTATCAAAAAAACAGCCACACACATATAAGCAGATCCAAGCAGTTTAAACCCATGCTGTTCAAGGATCAGCTATATACTATGCCTATTTAGGTGAACTAGGAAATAATTCGGCCCACAAGATCAAAGTTTGCCACAACAGGATGCTTTACAGTACTTCTACTCTACCAGAAGAATAAAAAGAATCAAGATCACCAGAAGTCCAGAAAAGCAACTTAGTCTGCAAGTTCAAGTTGGGAATATAGCCAAGTCCAATTACAGAAGCAGGAACATAAACACGGTGGCGGGCGCAGTCTACACCCCCTTTCTCTGCTGCATGGTTGGCACTCACACAGCAAAGAAGTCACATCCCACAAACAGGAACCACCGAGCTTTCCACAAGGGCTATAAGAACACGGGGACCAGCCTGTCTACCCAGGGCTTTCCACTGCCCAAGTCATTCTTCATGAGTACAGTCTTGTGTAATCCTCACAGCCATTCTGTGACATATTTTCCTCTACCCCATCACATGGAGACAGCCCACAGGTACGAGATTCCTCCAAACTCCTACACAGTCACTTCCTGGAGGATTTATACTATAGTCTGAGGTATACGTCTGGTTTCTCCAAAATGCCCCTCGATAATACTTTCCATTGTTCTGCTTCTACACCCTCAAATCACGTATTTAAGGAAAATTCAAACCAAAGCTGCCTTACATCTATCTGCCCAAGCAAAGCAGCAACTCTGCTACATAAGAACTTATGAAAAGCTACTGACACAGTGTCTAGCAGATGGCTTCTTCCCACATACCATCGTCCACGATCCAGTCGTCATCCTGGCGGGCCTGGACCAGCTTCGAGTATTGTTCCTCATCAACTTCTTCATAAACACTCGTGAAGTCCTCTACCTACCATCATACAAGTTTGAGAAAGCTCAAAGTGGAGTGAAAGTGTTAAACAATTCTGATGAAAAAATTGTCAAATTCAAAGTGGAATGGCAGCCTGAAGGAGTTAGCTGCAACCAAATCATGAGTTCTGACATTCAACACCACTGCAGGGTTTTCCTTAAATAGACATCAATTAACTTAGTATTCCTTTTAGGTGGGTGTTAACATAAGATATTAAATGATTCCATTAGCATAATATACTTGTCACACCATCAATTACTCATCTACTTCATAAAAAACAAACTGAATTATAGCCAATTCTTCATTAGCTACTTTGGGGATTAGTCATTTGTAATTTCGAGATTGGTTTCTCCTGTACTTGGCAAACCTGTGAGACATGCTGCCTCCCTTTCCGCTAGCTGATGGTGCCCCACAAAAGGACAATAATCTCCATAACTGTTCAACTGATCAAATGAAATTCCAAAGGAAAATCTCCCCCATCCATCCCCCTCCAAAAGCCAGGAAAACACAGTCTATATTCTATAGGTGCACTACAAACGGTTTTAGAGTGACCCTTGTTTGTATTACCACTGATCCCTAACCATTTGGGGGTGTTAAAAACCGAGTGCAAATGTGGAGTGGCAAGACCTGTAATTACACAGGCTGCCCAACCATCACAAGTTCAGAACTCCATGAACTACTGACATGAAGAGAGCAGACCACCTAAGCAGTAAAAGCACAGACAGACACACACCACTGCCACAGCCACCATGGTGACAGGCCATTAATGTCCCAGGTGAGAATTTGGTGGGCTGGTTATCAAGAACTTAAACACACCCTGCTAAAAATTCCCCCCTTCTCTTGACAGTTCTACCTTTACAAGTGAGGGGTGGAAGAAACGACCAGCTCCATCTGAAGACCTAAGACTCTAGGGGAAAAAACACCTGGATACAGAGCTTTGAGAGCCTGATGGGCAGAGTTGACTGGATTTCTGCCACACCTACAGGGCTTATAGTAATTGCAGGATTAGGCTTAGCTGTCACCTCCTGTTTAATTTGCTCTACAGGGATCACTGGCAAATACTGATTAGGCCTTTGATCACTTGGTAACAGAAATTACCTGCCCTACCAAATTAAGTTTTTTGACAATCCAAGCACAACCTGGTCCAACTAATACTACTGTACTGACCAATCTTCTTTTCCAGGGGAGAGGGAACTGGCAAGGTTAGTTTTGTTGCCTGAAGTCTATTAGGCATACTCTGCCTCTCATTTAAGCAAGTCATTTACAGACTATCAAAAAGACACCAGAAAACTATTTTTAAAAATCATTTTGAATTAAAAAGTCATTTTGACTCGATCTCTAAAAACATTGCTACTGCTCAGCTTGAACTCTTAGAGCCATGCCATTAACATCAGTGATTAATGGGAAATCAGTCACATTGTGTCAACATCTGAAATGCCCCACAGAACTTCTTTACAGAAGCACCTACATTAAAAATGCTTTACTCATGATTTACTGTAATCCTTTTAGCAACCCTTTATGATCTGGATGACTCCCTTAACTTGAAGGAATGGTGCCAAATGACAAGAATCCTCTTCTACTTGCTTAATAGTCCAATACAGAATGGGCCATGGTTAACAGGCATATTCTCAAACCAGGCTGCCTAGGTTCCAGTCAAGGCTCTGCCACTGTGACCTCAGATACCTTCCATGCGAAATGCTGTTAATCGTAGTGTCTAACTTCAGATGATTATTGGAAAGATTAAAGAACAGAATATGTTTGTTAAAGCACTTAGAACAGTGTTAACTGAAAAACTGCATTAGTTGCTGTTATTATTATTATTTTCTCATATTAATTAATGGCTTTCCAGCCGTGAGGCTATGAAGGTATTAATATTCAGGGAGCACCCTGGAGGTGAAGCTCGACAACACTGTGCAGATGGTAGCCACTCTGCTTTTTTACCAGGCCATCAATAGTGGGTAGAAGGAAAGAGCCAAAAGGACATCACAATCAGTCCTTCGTGCAGGACACAGCAGAGGGGAGGTCCAAGCCCCCACAAGGATCCCCTTGCATATGCGATTGTGAAGTACAGTTCTCTCCAAGGAGAAGCAGTGCTCAGTCAGCTATGCTGCTCAGCACCTCTTAAGTAAAGCAAAAGCATCTCAAAGTTCCCTCAAAAGAGCCACGGAACTCAGCAGAGATGCAGTGATCTTAATAAGGCAAAAAATACATTACTACTTTCATTTAGGGATTTTAAAAGCATCGGTAAGGTACCTCAGAGGAACTTTAAGGGGTGAGTAGTCTCCCATAACCTGTAAATCTGCCTCATGCCCAAGTGCATTTGAGATTAAGAAATCACTACTATAAGAAACTTGAAATATATGCATATTTCTAATCAGCAACAAAGGTGACATAAGATTACCTACAGGCTATGAATTAGATGAATCACAGAGGGAAAAAATGGTTACTTACTTCATATTTATATTTCTCACCAGCTTTTGCCCTTTTCAGTCTTTCCAGAGCTTCCTGTCGCCCTTTCTTTGATTTTTTCTCTCTCCGGGATCGGGAAGCTACAAAACTCCTGGAATCTGACATAGCTGAAAAGAAGCCAAATTTATTTGAGACATTACAAAATTGTCAGCCATTTTCCCTCAAAAACAAAGCAACAGTTTTTAGCCAGCAGTAATATACAAGTTCAGTGTTATACAAAATCTGCAGTTCCTGTGGCTCTGCGGAAATTCTCAGCTGCAGTAACTGTTATTTTTTTTCCTCTAGGAGAAAAATTCCAAATTCAACTGATATACCCTGGAGACACTCAAGGGAGACCAGCCTAGTCCATAACCTTTCCAAGCAAAATGACAGGCCATTAAGTGATTATAAAAGGACAATTCATTTTGTATTCTATTAATCAACATTTGAAAGGTTTTGACGAGCAACTGCTCTTTACAAATAACTGCCCCTCTGAAAGACACAAAGACAAGACAGGGCCCCAGACTCACAGAACTTACAATCTGACCGGGGAGATACCTGGCAGACCTCGGAGATACTAGTGGGTTCAGTTCCAGACCATGACCAATAAAGTGAGTATTACAATAACGCGAGCCATGTGAATTTTTTAAAATTTCCCAGGGCATATAAAAGTTATGCTTACACTACATTATAGTCTATTAAGTGTGCAAAAGCATTATATCTTTAAAAATTCTTGATTGCAAAAAATAAAAATAAAAAAATTCTTGATTGCTAAAAATGTTAACCATAATCTGAGCCTTCAGTGAGTTGTAGTAGTAACATCCAAGATCCCTGATCATAGATCACTGTAACAAATATTGAAAAATGTGAGAATTCCCAAAATGTGACACAGGGACATGAAGTAATAAGTGAAGTCTGTTGGGGAAATGGTGTCAACAGACTTGCTTGATGCAGGGTTGCCACAACTTTCAATTTGTTTTAAAAAATAAATTTTTTAAGTGCAGTATCTAAAGCACAATAAAGCGAGGTATGCCTGTAAATAGCAACTAACTATAGAACAACTTTTAGAAGAAACACATGCCCCAACAGAAGTACAGATAAAATGCCTGGAATTTCAAAGGAAAGATAAATTGGGGGTTGGGAGAATTTAACCAAGATGACCGAGGAGATTCTTGATTCCATCACTGATTTCCAGATCTCATGCTGCTGGTTATGACATTAGAGGATGACAGTGAAAAACACAAAGATTAAAATGTGTTTTGTGAAAAATTAATGAAGTACCAGAAGGCCTCACTGTTCAGTCATTCAACTTTTGAATTATGCACGCTTTGGGTCATCATAAACTGACCACCTCACACAGCTACTGAAAAGATTTCACCCACAGAATGAAGACGTTAATATGCCAGCTGATGAATACCCAAAGCAAGCAAGACAGTGCCGCCTGCCAGCCACGAGTTGAGGCTCAGCATGACTGCCACCTATGTCTGTGAAATTGAGTATTGTATTGTATTTGGTGCTAATTACTTTATTAAAAGAAGCACAAAAAAGGAGAAGTATTGATAACAGGCATCCTAAAAGCTCCAACTCCACTGGAATGTTCATAACAACATTCAGCTCTTTGACTAAGTGTTGACTGAAACAGAAGATACAATTTACAGAACATGTAGCAAGTGCTGGCAATAAACTGTTTCAATAGTTTCAACTGTTTCAACCCTGTCTTGAAGGTGATGCATAACTAGAGATACTTTTTTTCTAGCTTTCTGGAAATGGAATCTCTCTTTATAATAGCTCAGTCTATTGTTTGACTTTCACATTTGACTTTTAAATCCGTTTTCAGAAAAGCGTTAAGGAATGCAGGTACTTAATGACAGCCACAAAATCTTGAATGTCACTCAAATGATTTAAAAAAAATGTGAGCAGACCTACACAACAAGGTTTTGGGGATTACTGAACATGACCCTTGGGAGTGAAGAGCTGGCCTCAGTGTATTCCATTCAAGATCCCCCTGACTCCTCTGTCAGATTATCCTGACAAAATCTATAGGTTTTCAAAAAGACTTACTCCACAGGCAACAATGTGCCACTGTAAGAGTTTGGGGTACAATTACAAATAAGACAAAATTGCGAGTCCTCAAGGGGCTCCCAGTCAAGGAAAGCAAAAAGACCTGAAACTCCCACCATCATATAAAGACGGTGCCATATGAGAGGTAAGAACCCGGTACTGAGGACATGTAGAAAAGGGAGCCATTCATTTTGCCTGGGAAATGAGACAAGGCTTCACAAGGGGAGGTTGCCAACACAGAAAGAGGAATAGAACTTCACTATCAGAGTACAGGGCAACAAGTGGGCACAAGCAAAGGAAAACGCATGAGCCAAACTACAAAGGGGTGAAAATGCAAGGTGTATTCTGAAACCAAGAGGAAGTCAATGCGGAAGGTAAACTGGACACGAGAGCATCGAGTAGGAGAACAGAGATTAGAAGCAGCAACACAACCAGGCTCTGGCACTTACTGGGTGACAGGAGACAACCGGTGTGCCTTTCTGAGCCACGGCGGCCAGGTGTCTTGTTTTTTTAAGCTGCCCAGTATTGAAACTGTGAAATCCCTCCTCCCTTATGCCCCGGCAGCTAGGGCAAGGGTACATAAAATAGGTCCTGCAATTACAAACATCTGCTCAGACTTAATCAGAAGCTAGCGTGACAAGGAAAGGGGGAGGACTAATGGAAGATTCTAGAAGTAGCAACCGCTACAGGAGGATTGAGTAGCTGGAACAACAGTGCCAGCAATGTCCCAGGGTACCTGAAGGCTCTAACTTCAAGTACTTGCCATGGTTGGCAGTAACCTCCTCAATGAACCACTTTGGGGGCATGATTTGAAGCACTGTTCCTAGCTACACTGCTCGGAGACTGGCTCTCCAGAGGTTCTGAACACTACGATACTTACTCTTCTGATAAATTCCTGTTCGGTTTCAGTCAACTAGAGTTGGTTCCTATAGAGTACACCCAATGGCTGAGACTAATGCACAGCCTCAGGGTCCTCATATGTGAAATGGGGATAACCATGTCTGCTTCATAAAGTTTAGGATGAAATGAAGATACCTGGCACACTAAGACACTCCACACTAAGCACTAAAAGGGTCTAGCTTCTAGAAAGCAAAAATAAAGCAAAGCCACTTACTCTGGGAAGCCTCAATATAGCACCGCATATAATTACATGTTTACCATCTCAATTCCATGAAGACAGAAACCATGTCCAACTTACCTACCAGTATAACACGAGAGCCTGATAGAAAGCCTATATCTGGTAGGTACATAATAAATATTTGCTGAATGAACCACTGTACCTGCTTTTTTAAATCATTAAACTCTCCCTGATCCATTTTCATATACAGTAACAGCTACTTATAGACCTTTCAACTTTTTACTGCCAGCCCACCTTCTAACACTTAAGGGGAAAAAAAAAAGCTTAAATTTTCCTTTTTGGTATAAGTCTCCAATGCTTCAAGTAGGTAAATTAGCCAAAAAGAATTAGCATGGAAAAAAAATCCAGTTACTGAAGTTTAAAGATCTGGTTCACAATTACATCTGGAATACTCCCCACCCTCCCCCAAAGCAGACAGACAAGAGCCTGCAAGTCTTTCTGGTGACAATCTTTCAAACTCGGCAGGAAAAAAAAAATTCCAGTCACAAGTCCCAGCCACTACTTAATCAACACCATGACTTAAGAGGGATCTCAAGATTGCAGTGTCCTTCGAAGAGTGATTTCATGATGTTCACCGAGGAGGAACAGTTTTTAGGGTGAAGAAAGGGCTTAGTGGCATGTCACTGATGGAGGACTGTAAAGACTATTCACGTACTCACATCCTACATCCCATTTGTAATCCAGGCTAGTCGACTCTCCAAAACAAATTGTCTTAAAAAGCGAAAGGCTAGAAGAACAAATTGAAATCTGTGATTCACAACTAGGGGAATGCAAAAGAATCTGATTAGGACGCAAATTCTCATTAATGGTGATGTATTTGAGTGACAGGAGATGTGACGCTTGAGCTAAGAGAGTGAAGCACCTGATTTTAAGTTAGAAGTTCACTGAAGTGAAGTCACACGTTAGTTGCACACTGCTCAAAAATCAGAAATCAGACAAATCCATTTACATTTCTATATTCTATTTTTGGAAATAGAAGATTACCACTGAAAACGGAGTAATATACAGGGCATGCGAAATGCTGCTACACTGAAGCATTTTTTTTAAAAAGCTTCACCTCAGATGACTAGATGATGAGCACTATTTCCACGCGGCCCTTTAAGAACTTTCCACAGACCCTGAAAGAAAAACTGTTACTGCGTAAAGCAGAAACTCATTACCTAAAAAAAGACAAAACGCGTTTGTATTTTCAGGTGACAGCTTTCTTTCCTGCTTCGTTACCACGTGTAACAACCTTCCCAGCACTCCCAGCGGGAGTAAAGAAATACTTTCGGCCAAGACTGTCCCACCGGGGTCAGTCTAGTGCAGGTGTGTGCCCAGCACGTGGGATGAGACTCACCAAAAGAAATAAAGAGGCAGATAGGCGCGGAGACCCGCAGTGACAGTGATGAGGCAGCCTCCCAAACAAAAAGCCCCTCAGGGAGTTACTCGGGTTTGCCAGGACCCAACGGCCCTGCAAGGAAGCCCTGTCCGAGGCCTGATGGGTTCCAGCCCTGGACGTCTGAGGTCCGCGCCCGAAGAGACACGAGGAGCAATCCGGGGGTGCGCCTTCCTGAGAAAAAATAAAAGAGAGTTCCCACAACCCGCAGTTATGCCTCAGTCCCCGCACTCCCAACCCAGGACACTGCGCGTGGGGCCATCTCTCACCGTCAGCCCCGGCTCGCACTTCTCGCCGTGCACTTGCGCCACGGTCACGGAGTCTTCCGATTCCGCGCCAACCAGCCCGAAACTGGCGCGGGGGCCGAGACAGGCGCCACCCAGAAAACCAATCAGAGGCTCCAGAGACTGCGGACTTCCGTCCGGAAGGCCACTGACGTGCCGCGCCGCGCGGCGCCCCGCCCCCGGCCTTCCCGCGGGCGCGCATTTGGCGCCCGGTGATGACCCCTTAGGGAAAAGAGCGAGCGAAGGGGGCGGCAATTGAGAGCAGAAAAAGGAAGCGGTCGGGCGCTGAAAAAGAGCCGCCTGAAAACTCACTGCGCAAGCGCACCCATGCTGATGGGTAACGATTTGGGCGAGTTGGAGCAAGGGCTTTCTGGTTCTGAGGGTTTATTTTCCGACAAAAGAGGCGCGGGCGGCAGCAGGGTGGGCGTGGTTGAACGGGTTTCCGAGGAGCCTGGGAAAAACGACTGCCTCCTGCTGCGCGTTCCGAGTCTTGCCTCATACTTTGTTTCTCTGAGTTCTAGCACAGTCGCTGTGTGATTTATGGTATACGCACCAATTTAACCGAAAGATCAAAAGTACCATCACCAATTCGGGGCCTCCCGATGTGATGCACTCGGAAAAAATAACATCACCTATATAGTCTTGCAAATAAATGTTTAACCTGAATCTAACCATTGAGAAACAATCAGATGTATTTAAAACGTAGAATAATCTATAAAAATCTGTCCTGGGCTCCTGGAAAATGTCAATGTTATGAAACATTAAAAGGAAATTAGAGGAAAAAAGGGGGAGCATGAGAGGGAGTTTATTTTCCACAATAAACTGGAAAATTCTGAAAGAGATGGGAATACCACACCACCTGACCGGCCTCTTGAGAAACCTGTATGCAGGTCAGGAAGCAACAGTTAGAACTGGACATGGAACAACAGACTGGTTCCAAATAGGAAAAGGAGTANCATTGGAAGGACTGATGCTGAAGCTGAAACTCCAATACTTTGGCCACCTGCTGCGAAGAGCTGTCTCATTTGAAAAGACCCTGATGCTGGGAAAGATTAAGGGCAGGAGGAGAAGGGGACGACAGAGGATGAGATGGTTATATGGCATCACCGACTCAATGGACATGAGTTTTGGTAAACTCTGGGAGTTGGTGATGGACAGGGAGACGTGGCGTTCTGCAGTTCATGGGGTGGAAAAGTGCTGGACACGACTGAGTAACTGAGTTGAACTGAACTGAGAGGGACTTCCCTAGTGGTCCAGTGGCTAAGACTGCACTCCCAATGCAGGGGGCCTGGGTTCAATCCCTGCTTAGGGAACTAGATCCCACATGCTGCAACTAAAGAACCTGTGTGCCACAACTGAAGCCCAGTGAAACCAAAAAAATAAAAATATTTTTTAAAAGAGACATTAGATTCTGGTGTTTGGTACAATGCATACAATATATGCAAACTCATTTATTGTTTAACGGTAAGACCAGAGACATAGGCATGTATATCTTAACTAGAGAGCACTAGTTAAACCAAGAACTTCCAATGAGAATTCTTTCTAGATTTTATGTAGAATTATCTTTAACCATTGAGACCAATACATCTGAACCCTTTTCTCAAACCCCACTATGCACAATGCTCTTGGTTCCACTTCACCCCCAGAGTACAAAGTTAGAGCCATGCCCTCAAGTGATTCAACATAAATTATTGGCCAACGGACAAAACGTTTGTGATAATTGAGCCCTGGCTCATAGCATAAACATGCAACATCAATGTGAATAAAACCTGCCCCCAAAGACAAATAGCTGTACTAATGCTTCAAAATCTTTTAAACCAGTAGTATGAACTAAAACTTGGGAATGGGAAACCAGAATTCTTCTGGGAATTATTACAGGTATTGGAGCAATTAAGAAAGAATTATGAGTTAGAAAATTGATGGTATAGTCAGTCAACAGTGAATTTTAGCAGAGGATGGCAGCATGAGGGTTTCTTAATTTACATATGGCCAGTATTCTATAACCCTGGAGGAAGGCATGGCAACCCACTCCATTATGCTTGCCTGGAGAATCCCATGGACAGAGGAGTCTGGCGGGCTACAGTCCATGTGGTCTCAAAGAGTTGGACAAGGCTGAAGCAACTTAGCATGCACAGTATTCTATAAAGCTTAGAGCAGTGGTTCTCAACTTGGTCGCAAATTAGAATCATCTGAGCAGTTATTCAAAGTTCCAATGCCCCCTGGACCTATTAAATCAGAATTTCCGAAGATGGGATTCCAATGTGAAGCCGAAGTTGAGAATAAGTGGGCTAGACAAGGCATTGCTAAAGCATTTAGAGTCACAAGCAGGATGGCTAACCCAGACATAAATATCTGGTTGAACAACATGTGGTCACATATGCCTGGACATGGGCTTCCCCTGTGGCTCGGTGGTAAAGAATCCATCTGCCAGTGCAGGAGATGCGGGTTCAATCCATGGGTTGGGAAGATCCCTGGAGAAGGAAATGGCAACCCACTCCAGTATTCTTGCCTGGGAAATCCCATGGGCAGATGAACCTGACTGGCTACAGTCCATTGGGTTGCAAAGAGTTAGACGTGACTTAGCGACTAACAACAGCAACAACGTACCTGGACACACCTCCTTCTGTGAGGAAGGAAGGCTGATTTTCCATCTATTCGAAAGACTTTCACTCTTTAGTATCTTACAACATTTAGTGCTGTGACTTCCTATGAACTGAATGGTATCTGGGTTACCTAAAAGACTCTTAGGCAAGGCCAACACTAGATTTATTAGAAGCAATGTGAAACCACCCTGGTTGTTAAGCATCTATCATCAGTAGGAACCAAGTCTGGGACTTCCCTGTCAGTCTATTGGTTAAAGATACTGCCCTTCCACTGCAGGAGGTGCAGGTTCAATCCCTGGTTGGAGAACTAAACATCCAACATGACCACCAAGATCTTGCCCCAAAGCTGCACCATTGTTTCTTGGCTGCTCCTCCTTGGTCTCCACATTCCCTCCCTTCCCTAATAAGCAACTGTTTGAATCTGCCCGTTGGAACCAAGGGAAGGTCGTGGAGGCTGAATCAAGACTCTTTCCTTGTAATTTAGAAATGGGGGACACAGAAAGACTTTTGTGCCAAGGAACCCCACAGGGTCGTGCTTAGTTTCACCTTCTCTTTTCCTCCCACAGTAGAGATGACTTATGTTTCATTTCCCTTTGTCCTTAACTCTTACTGAATAATTTCTGCCAGTGAGACAACTTGGCCAAACAATCATTAATATTTTCCCCAGGCAGTAATCTGTTTTATAACCATCTGCTTGAAAAGATCATCCTGGATGAACCTAGAGATTATCATACTAAGTGAAGTAAATCAGACAAAGACAAATACCATATGATATGACTTGCCTGTGAACTCTAAAAATTGTACAAATGAACTCATTCACAAAACAGAAAAAGAATCACAGGTGCAGAAAACGAACTTCTGGCTACCAAAGAGGAAGGGTAGAGGAGTGATTTTTTAAAAAAGAGGGGGGACTTCCCTGTCGGTCCAGTAACTAAGATTCCTGGTTGCCAATGCAGGGAAGTTAGTACAGAAAAATTCCATGTATCCTTTACCCAGGGTCTCCCACTGAAAACATCTTGCAAGACTGTATCACAACTAGGATATTGGCACTGATACAGTCAAGATACAGGACATTTCAATCTCTAAAGACCCTTAACCACTGGTAACCACTAGTCTGTTCCTTACTTCTATAATTTTGCGTACAGGCCTTTGTACAGACTCATTTCTCTTGGGCAGAGACTTAGAAATGGAATTGCTGAGTCATGTGGTAAGTATATGTTTTGTTGTTGTTTAGTTGCTAAGTCCTGTCCAACTCTTTGCGACCCCATGAACTGCAACACGCCAGGTTGTCCTGTCCTTCACTATCTCCCAGAGTTTGCTCAAACTCATATCCCTTGAGTTGGTGATGCCATCCAACCATTTCATCCTCTGTTGCCCTCTTCTCCTCCTGCCCTCAGCATTTCCCAGCAAAGGAATGGCTGATTACTCCAGTATTCTTGCCTTGAAAACATCATGAACTGTATGAAAAGGCAAGAAAAAAGTATATGTTTAATTTTAAAATAAACTTGAGAAACTGTTTTTCCAAAGTGGCTGTACTATTTCACGTTCCCATCAATAGTGTATGAGAGATTCAGTTGTTCTACATCCTCACCAGTAACTATCAGTTTTTATTTTAATTTTCATTCTAGTGATAATATATTAGTATCTCATTGTGAGTTTTAATTTGCACTTCCCCGATGACTAATGACAAGTGTCTTTCATGTGCTTCCTGGCTATTCGCCATTGTTTTCTCTTGGATATGTTTGTTCTTTGTTTCTCTTTGTTCTTTGTTTCTATCTTTCCCTCCTTCTCTGGGTTTAGTGGAGCATTTTATATGATTCCATTTTATCTCCTGTCTTGGTATATCATTTATACTTCTTTTTTAAAGAACTTTTTTAGTGGTTGCCCTAAGGTTTACAGGGCTTCCCAGGCGGCGCTAGTGATAAAGAACCTGCCTGCCAAGGCAGGAGACATAAGAGACATGGGTTCAACTCCTGGGTTGGGGAGATGCCCTGGAGGAGGGCACTGCAACCCATTCCAGCACTCTTCCCTGGAGAATCCCATGGACAGGGGAGTCTGGTGGGCTACAGTTCACAGTCATAGTCAGACACGACTGAAGTGACTTAGCATGCACGCAAAAGTTCTCAACATACATTTTAAAATAATGTAAGTCCACCTCCAAATAACATCATACTGCTGTATGTGTAGGGCAGCTACATTATGAGCAAGTATTCCCCAGTCCTCTCTTCCTGTCCCTTGTGACACCTTACTGGTGTCCAGGAATTGTTTGTTATTATGGGAAAGAGCCCCAACCCTACACTGGAAATTGGGTCTCAGAACACTTGCTGTTGTTCTGGTTTCCAATGAGAAACCCACTGTAATGCTCAACCTTATTCTTCTATAAGCAAAGTTTCCCACACTCTACTCTCCACCTCTGGCTTCTTTCAAGAGTTTTACCTTG